GGAGGGGCCTTGGATGACATACTCATCCAACAACACCAGGACCTGGCCCCCAGGCTCCTTGCCGTGGATATCCTGAGGCCACCAGAAAAGGGCCCAAACGACATACTGGAGGATGAGTTTTACTCAACTCTCTGCTGCGCCGCCGTGGGGGGCCAGTTGTCATTTGTGGGGGGCGGCCCCAACTGCCGGACCTGGAGCATCCTACGATGGTTTCCAAAGCCTGGAGCGCCCAGGCCAGTACGAGGGCGTGATCCCTCCCAGACATGGGGACTCGACTCAAATTCCCTGGAAGAACAGTTGGACACAGACAAGGACAGTATCCTTTTGCTCCGGCAACTGGTCATCACTGCCCTAGCCTCAAAAGCCAGGCAACACAAAGGATTCCACTCGTTCTTGGAACACCCTCGTGACCCAGCGGAGTGTAGTCGGGCACCAACGGCGGCAAAATGTTCATCGGTATGGGCCACCAGAGTCTATCAGGAGTGGGCCAAAGAGGTAAATCACTGTCAGATCCACCTGGACCAGTGTAGACTTGGACAAAGGGCACAGAAGAGTACGACCTTCTCAACGGACCTTCCAATTCACCATTGGCAAGGCCTCCAGTGCAACCATTCTGAACACCTGAGGCCATTGGCGATGACCTCCCGGGACCTCAGCAGATACCCGCCAGCACTGATGGCAGGGCTGGCAGCAGCAATCATCCAGAGCATTCCAAACACAGGACATCCATCCACCGGATGTCAACAGGAAGGGGAGCCTCCTGGTCGGACAGACCGCTCCTCATCGGTACCCCTTTCCCAGACGATGACTTTGGATGACGACCCGATCATCGTTCAATCAGGCTTCAAGACTAGACCCCTACGTGATGGAGGAGGTAAGCCCTCAGCCGGGAGACGACCTCCCCCGCTCAGACCTCAGTCCAAGATCAAGCACATTGGAGACTCCATCAGCCACCTGGCAAAAGGATGTGCACAGGACGTCCAACAGTCCATCAACAGGGGTGAGAGAAAACATCCGTTCTCTAAGGAGCTTCTTCAGGAGACACGGCGGGCCATTGCCCAAGAGATTGGGCTGGACCACCAACTTGCTGAGGAGATGGAGCCAGGCCAGCCGTTCTACCTGAACCTCATCTCAGCCTTAGCGGAAGCTGGTGGAGATGCAGACGCAGCCTACCCCACAAGGGTTGCCAAGGGAGTCCCATTAGGTGTCACCACACCTACCTGGACGTCACCGGGTATATGGCCTACAAAGGAAGAACTCAAAGGAGAATCCCCTCTGTGGGAGGACCTCCTAATAGAATGGGCTAGCGCCCTGGTGCCGCCGACCCCCCCTATTTGGGGGGTGCTGTAGAGAGAGGGAGAGAGAGGGAGGGAGAGATAGAGAGAGGGCTTGGTGGAAGCTGCCGCGAGGGATTTGGAGGGTTTTAGGGGTTTTAAGGGTTTGAATAACGGCTTGAAGGCTGGCAAACGGCAGGCTTGAACGCCATAACAACAGAGGGCTATGCAGGTAAACGCAGGCAAACTGCAGGCTGCAACGCTGGAACAGCAAAGGCTTACAGGAGGGCTTGGTGGAAGCTGCCGCGAGGGATTCGGAGCATTTTAGAGGTTTTAAGGGTTTGAAGGGTTTTAAGGGTTTGAAGGCTGGCACCGGAGCATTTTAAGGGTTTTAAGGGTTTGAAGGCTGGCAAACGGCAGGCTTGAACGCCCTAACAACAGAGGGCTATTCGCAGGCAAACGGCAGGCTGCAACGCTGGAACAGCAAGGGCTTACGGCCGCAGGGCTTGGTGGAGGCTGCCGCGAGGCGCCCTAGGCAGGGACGCCCTAGCAACAGAGGGCGATGCAAGAAAACGCAGGCAAACGGCAGGCTGCAACGCTGGAACAGCAAAGGCTTACGGCCAGAGAGGGCTTGGTGGAAGCTGCCGCGAAGGATTTGGATGGTTTTAGGGGTTTAAAAGGTTTTAAAGGTTTGAAGGCTGGCAAGGGGTACCTTTTCCCTGCGGAGCTGGCCGGACTTTTGGAGGGTTTGGAGGGTTTGGAGGGTTTTGGAGGGTTTTGGAGCGTTTGAGGCCTGGCAAACGGCAGCCTTGAACGCGTATAAGAAGCCATTGCTGCGGCCGTGGGGTGCCCTTGAGCCATTGCTGTGGCCTTGTGGTGGCTTTTGCGTGCGGCAGTGGCGCGTGTTGGGCTTGTTGGGGTACCTTTTCCCTGCGGAGCTGGCCGGACTTTTGGAGGGTTTGGAGGGTTTTGGAGGGTTTTGGAGCGTTTGAGGCCTGGCAAACGGCAGCCTTGAACGCGTATAAGAAGCCATTGCTGCGGCCGTGGGGTGCCCTTGAGCCATTGCTGTGGCCTTGTGGTGGCTTTTGCGTGCGGCAGTGGCGCGTGTTGGGCTTGTTGGGGTACCTTTTCCTTGCGGAGCTGGCCGGACTTTTGGAGGGTTTGGAGGGTTTTGGAGGGTTTTGGAGCGTTTGAGGCCTGGCAAACGGCAGCCTTGAACGCGTATAAGAAGCCATTGCTGCGGCCGTGGGGTGCCCTTGAGCCATTGCTGTGGCCTTGTGGTGGCTTTTGCGTGCGGGAGTGGCGCGTGTTGGGCTTGTTGGGGTACCTTTTCCCTGCGGAGCTGGCCGGACTTTTGGAGGGTTTGGAGGGTTTTGGAGCGTTGGAGGCCTGGCAAACGGGAGCCTTGAACGCGTATAAGAAGCCATTGCTGCGGCCGTGGGGTGCCCTTGAGCCATTGCTGTGGCCTTGTGGTGGCTTTTGCGTGCGGCAGTGGCGCGTGTTGGGCTTGTTGGGGTACCTTTTCCCTGCGGAGCTGGCCGGACTTTTGGAGGGTTTGGATGGTTTGGCGGGTTTTGGAGGGTTTTGGAGCGTTTGAGGCCTGGCAAACGGCAGCCTTGAACGCGTATAAGAAGCCATTGCTGCGGCCGTGGGGTGCCCTTGAGCCATTGATGTGGCCTTGTGGTGGCTTTTGCGTGCGGCAGTGGCGCGTGTTGGGCTTGTTGGGGTACCTTTTCCCTGCGGAGCTGGCCGGACTTTTGGAGGGTTTGGAGGGTTTGGAAGGTTTTGGAGGGTTTTGGAGCGTTTGAGGCCTGGCAAACCGCAGCCTTGAACGCGTATAAGAAGCCATTGCTGCGGCCGTGGGGTGCCCTTGAGCCATTGCTGTGGCCTTGTGGTGACTTTTGCGTGCGGCAGTGGCGCGTGTTGGGCTTGTTGGGGTACCTTTTCCCTGCGGAGCTGGCCGGACTTTTGGAGGGTTTGGAGGGCTTGGAGGGTTTTGGAGGGTTTTGGAGCGTTTGAGGCCTGGCAAACGGCAGCCTTGAACGCGTATAAGAAGCCATTGCTGCGGCCGTGGGGTGCCCTTGAGCCATTGCTGGGGCCTTGTGGTGGCTTTTGCGTGCGGCAGTGGCGCGTGTTGGGCTTGTTGGGGTACCTTTTCCCTGCGGAGCTGGCCGGACTTTTGGAGGGTTTGGAGGGTTTTGGAGGGTTTGGAGGGTTTGAGGCCTGGCAAACGGCAGCCTTGAACGCGTATAAGAAGCCATTGCTGCGTCCGTGGGGTGCCCTTGAGCCATTGCTGTGGCCTTGTGGTGGCTTTTGCGTGCGGGAGGGGCGCGTGTTGGGCTTGTTGGGGGACCTTTTCCCTGCGGAGCTGGCCGGACTTTTGGAGGGTTTGGAGGGTTGGAGGGTTTTGGAGGGTTTTGGAGCGTTTGAGGCCTGGCAAACGGCAGCCTTGAACGCGTATAAGAAGCCATTGCTGCGGCCGTGGGGTGCTCTTGAGCCATTGCTGTGGCCTTGTGGTGGCTTTTGCGTGCGGGAGTGGCGTGTGTTGGGCTTGTTGGGGGACCTTTT